CTAACTTGTCCAAAATCCTGACACAAAGAGGCAAAAAAAAATCACACTGTAAGATTGAAGCTAACAAATCGATTCCTATCTATTTAAAAAAAAAAGAAAGAAAGAAACTGTGAGATGGAAAAAGCCTACTCAAATTATATCTTTTGAAACTGAATTATTGTAAAGTTAATCCTAGAGAAGTATGGAGAAGCTGCAACAGAGAAAAAAATGAAAGAGTAGACAAGACGCAGAGTGAAGGGAAGGGAGAGAGGCATGGTGTGTGGGGGTGGTGTTAAAATTCTCAAGTGAAGGCTATAAACAGAATAAGACAATGGATACAGAACAGTTGTGTTTGACAGGGTGACACAAGAGAAAGAAGAGCTTTAAAGAACCATATGGTTGGTTTGGTCCCAACAGGCTTTGAAAGGACACTTTATCTGCTCCACTTAAAAATAACTTCACAGTGATATTCAAACACTTCTTTAACAAAAGAATCAGTTCTTTTTTTCAAACACATCACTACTCCAAGATCTTTGCTGCCAGATCCATGATATTCAGACCACCAGACTCATCTGAGGCAACTTTCAGAAATTTGCAACTCTGTAAGGACTTCTAGATTCCCCTGTGGCATTAACTTCATATTTTTTACAATCTGTAAAATTATTACTATCACTGATGAGGGGAGCAGAACCTCAAAAACTAAGTGAACCTCTATCTGATCCTTTAATAAACTTAATAAGCTTAATAAGAAGACAGGCCTCATTTTACTGTCTATGGTTCCATCAAAGGGCTTTACCAGCCATCCCTGAGCTGATAACTAAGTTCATGTCCAATGGCTCACAGGAACACTTTGGACTCAGCCCTGACTTTCTTCCTCACAGTTCACACCCCACCAGGTTGGAAGCAAGCTCTGATGGCTCTAGTTTCAGAGTACATCTAGAGTTGGCCAATCTCACCTTCCCCATTCGCTCCCTCTGCTCAGTGTAGATTTCTTGCATTCCACACCCCACCAGGTTGGAAGCTAGCTCTGTTGGCTCTAGCTTCAAAGTACATCCAGAGTTGGCCAATCTGACCCTCCTCATGCCCTCCCCCTACCCAGTCAGTGTAGATTTCGTGCTGTCCTGTGCTTCGATGGTTGCCACAGCTCCCAGCTGGTTTCTTGACCCTGACGTCCTATTCTCAAAACATCAGCCTGAGCTGTTCTTACAGCAGTAACATTAGTTCACTCCTCTACTCAGAATGATAGTGATTCTCCATTTCACCGGACAAAAAGGCCAAAGTTCTTTCACTAGTCTGAAATGCTATGGTGGATACAGGGATGAACTGCTGAGATGCTGTTCAGACAATTTGTCCTCTGACTGCAGGGAGTGATAGCCATCACCATCTTCAAGCCAGTCTTCCAAGGACAGCTGCAGGAAGGTATCAAGACCCAGATGCCTTTTCCAAATCCAACTACTCTGAGACAGACCATTCAACCCTAGCTCTAAGTAGGTCAGCTGGAGGCTAGGCCTACATTGCAGGTCCACCTCTGCTTCAGGCCTTCCCTACCTTTCCCTGTGTCTCCATCCCAACAGGACAGCCTAACCAATGACCACATAGTCTAACCAATGGCCATGCAGTCTAATCAATGACCACATTTCTAACCAATGACTATACAGTATAATCAATGAACACATTATCTAACCAAAGACTATACAGTCTACTCAATGACCACATCATTTAACCAATGACCACATAGTTTAATCAATGACCACACAGCCTAATCAATGACCACACAGTCTAAGCAATGACCATACAGTCTAACCAATGACCACAAAGTCCAACCAATGACCACAGAATCAAACCAAAGACTATACAGTCTAATCAGTGACCACACAGCCTAACCAATGAACACAGTCTAACAAATGACTACACAGTCTAACCAATGACGACACAGACTAATCAATGACTGTAGTCTAACCAATGAGCACACAGCCTAACAAATGACTATACAGTCTAACCAATGACCATACAGTCTATCCAATGACCACAAAGTCTAGCCAATAACTGCATAGTCTAACGAATGTCCACACAGTCTAACCAATGACCACACAGTCTAACTAATGGTCACACAGTCTAAAACAATGACCACACAGTCTAAACAATGATCACACAGTCTAACTAATGACCACACAGTCTAACTAATGACCACATACCACCACTCTCTTATCCACAGCCTGAATCTGAGAATCCTATCCTCTAGCACAAATCCTGTATAACCTACCTCCTGGTGGCTCTCTTCCTTCAAACCTCACCAATCTCCCTACCTGCTCCTCTGGTACACCCCTTTGATGTTTCCTCAAGATAGGTATGCCTCTGCCTTAAGTTCTCTGCACAGCTGTTCCTCCTGCCTTATAAAGCACAACACTCACCCCTTCCAGTACTCAAATGTACCTTCTACCAAAACCTTCCCTGACTTCTCCTCCCTCAGACATAAAGTTTGGACATTAAGCATTAAGGACAAACAGGTTTTATTTTTTTTTAATTATTTGTTTTTCTTTTTGGAGTGTCTATTCCCTTTTGATGAACTGACTTCAGCTATTTAAAATAGTGTTTGAAGCAAAACATGGTAGTTCACATATTTAATCCCAGCACTTGGGAGGCAGAGACAGGCAGATCTCTGTGACAATCATGGCCAGCCTGGTCTATATAGCAAGTTCCAGGCCAGCCAGGACTACAGGGAGAACCTGTCTCAAAAAAACAAAAATAAAGTTATGCTTGAAAGTTACTTTTTTCAGTGCATAAATATAATGCCAGGGTTAGGAGAATAGACTCTGGGCTCAAACAGACTGGAGTATGACTCTACCTGTATTTCACTCTGTGGTTGTGCAACCTGGGCCTTGGTTCTTTATCTGTGATGGGGGAATAATGATGTTACTGTCCTCAAGCTGAGGATTAAATGACTATGAAAAGGCCAAAGATCTGGGGCTGGAGAGATGGCTCAGCAATTAAGAACACTGGTTGTTCTTGTAGAAGACCTGGGTTCAAATCCCAGCACCCACATGGCAGCTAATGACTGTCTGTAACTCCAGTCCCAGGGGATCCAACAGCCTCTTCTGACCTCTGCAGGCATTGCATGACACAGGTGCATTTACCTATATGCAGGCAATACACACATATACATAAAAAATAAATAATATATTTAAAAAATTTTTAAAAAGGAAAAGGGCAAAGATCCATGTAAACAAGAAACTATGGAGAGGTGGTCCTAAGAAAAGCTATGCACCAAAAGTTGCACTGGAGTATATCTGCACCCTGGGTCACAAGTCAGGTGCCCAGGAAATGATCTTGGCTGTGCTTACCCATGGCAATGTTCAGCCAGAAAAACAGGGCTGATCCTGGAGAAGCAAGTGTCACCCAAGGGCACATGACAGCCTAGCTAAGGACACTGCAGAGTAGTTGCCAGCACACACAGTTCAGGCAGTCATCTGATACAAAGGCCCAATTCTTTGCTCTTTCTGCACTGACTTTAATTACTTTAGACTTTATTCTAATCTCTAAGGTCCACATTACAAAAACTCTCAGAAGATTTCAAATATCTAGGTCTATCTATGTTCATCAGAAGCGCTTTAAACTTTAAAATAAGACATATGCCTGATTATTTGAGATAGAAACCTAATCTTTTCATTTACTTCCAACCCAAACTTTTTATATTATTTCTATTTCTGTGAAACAAATGCATTTTACTTGGCTTAAAAAAATAAAACAATAACTGCTCCAGAATCTCAACTATTCTTACATTGTTCCCATTTTTTAAAATTTATTAGAGAGAAATGTCTTTGCCCATAACCTCAGATCCCTCTGCTTGGCTGATTCAGTGATCATGCTGGAGGTCCAAACCACCACGCAGAAACAACAGCCCTCCTCTAAGCTGGCAGTGATGGGAACCTGAAAAGTCTAGCATTCACCACTACATCATGTATCCACCTTTTCGGATTATTTACAGATTCCACTGTAGTCAGCTTCTTTATTCTTAAAGATAGAGTCATTTAAGCCTATGTTTAAAAGGATTAAAAACACAGATGGGTATGGTGGCACACACCCATAATGGCAAACTTTAGAGGCTGAGGCAGGAAGGTCTCAAGTTCAGGGTCAACCTAGGTTATGTAGTAAGAAATCTATGTTGAAGGGGAAAAAAAGTAAGAATGAACAACAAGATCATTATTGAGAAAGTTACCATTTTGTGATTACTCATTGAAGTAACAAGTACACCACTTATTAAAATTAATGAGTGGTATTATGGAGGGATAATCAACGATAGCACAGTGTGACTTCCTTGAAAGTTTTTATCATCACTGTGTCCTAGTTTCTTTTATTTGCTGTGATAAAACACACTGAACAAAGACAGCTTAAGGGAGGAAAGCATTTATTTCATCTTATACTTCCGGGTAACAGTTCATCGAGACGAATCAGAGCAGGAACTCAAGACAGGAACAGAGGCAGGAGCTGAAGCCGAGACTGTAGAGGAATGCTGCTTATTGGCTTTCTCAGCTTCTTTCTTATACAGCCCAGGTCCACTTGCCCAAGGATGGCACTGCCCATGGTAAGCTCGGCCCTCCTACATTAATCAGCAATTAAGAAAATGCCTCACAGAGATGCCCACATGCCAATCAGATGGAGGAAGTTCTTCAGTTGGGGTTTCCTCTCTCTAAGTGACTCTATTTTGTGTCAAGTTGACAAAAAAAAAAAAAAAAAAACCCTAACCAGCACATCATGTAATGAGGAGACAGACTTAGGAACAAGTTACCCTACAGATGCACCTATTGTGTGTGCAAAATTCCTTCCTGGAAGAAGACAAATTTAGAGAGGTTTATGAGACAGGGTCTCCTATAGTCCCACCTGGCCTGGAACTCGCTATGTAGACCAAACTGGCCTCTATATCACAGAGATCCACCTGTCTCTGCTGGGATTAAAGGTATGCACCACCACGCCTGGCAAGAGAGACCTCTTTTATTCTCACTCTGTGTGTGTGTGTGGTGTGTGTGTGTGTGTGTGTGTGTGTGTGTGCCCTTGGGAAAGTCAGTGGTACATCAGTTTATTTCAGGTTTCCTTTAAAGCTATAATCCACTAGGAACTGCCTTGGCACTTCAGTGTCCTCATTTATGGATATTATGCACGCCTCTGATTTTTTCTTCATAGCTTTGTACAATTTAATATTCAGGCTAGGGAAACTGGAAATTTCCTCCAGGTCAAACAGCTCCTTAAATCTATCTACAAATTTATTTTCCTTCTCCAATCTGAATTTCATGGCCCAGAGGATGGTGGTAACCTCTTTGCTGAGATGATCAAAGGTAATGAGGAGCTCTTCCAGGAAAGGATGGGCATACACAACATCTGCTGCCAGGATATAGTCAAAATCGTTAGAAGACTTGGGGAAGTTTTCATCTAAAGCTACTCCCCAGGAGAGTTCTTTAACCTGAGGCAAATGCTTGCATTTCATTTTGGTGTTTCGAGAAATATTATATTGTAGGTTTCCAAGTAATTCAGGTAAGTCTGTGGCAGTCACTCGAGCACCTGTGAACAAAGATTGGTAGGAAAAGTAACCCTTAGAATCAGGTCAATCAAGTTTCAAGCTACAATGCATACTGAGATTCTTCACAATTGCTAGTCCTATAGAAAAGACAGGGGCTGGAGAGAGGGCTCAGTGGCTAAGAGCATTGGCCGCTCTTGCAAAGGACCTGGGTTGGGTTCCCAACACCCACATGGTGACTAACAACCATCTGTAACTCCAGTGCCAGGGATTCCAATGCCCTCTTCTGGCCTCCTTGGCCATTGCACTCAGGTGCATTTAAACACAGTCAGGCAAAACACTCATACACGTAAAAAATAAAAATAAGGGGCTGGAGAGATGGCTCAGCAGTTAAGAGCACTGGCTGTTCTTGCAGAGGACCTGGGTTCAATTATCAGTGCCTACATGGCAGCTAACAACCATCTGTAACTCCAGTTCTGGGGGAATCTGATGCCTTCTTCTGATCTCCTCAGGCACTGCACGACTTACACACATGCAGACAAAACACTCATACACATAAAATAAAAAATAAACAAATAAAAGAAAAAGAAACAGAATCCCATGGCATTTCTGCACATCTTGTACTGTTCTGTTTCCCTAGGTTTTTGTCTTATTATTGTTCTCTATTTATCTAAATAACCAAAAGAAAAGGAAATTCAAAATATCTGGCACTCTCATTACAACAATGCAAAGTCATTGATGAAAGCAAAAGAATATTTCTGTAAAGAATCCTGAGCCTCTATGGGGGTTGAAACATTTCAAATGCCCCAGATCAGCAACAAGCTACCAACACTCTAAAGAAGTCCCTGGACCTCATCAGCTCAACCTGGATGAGCAAATCTATGTGACTAAGAAATGACTGAGGACAGATTACACACTGTGAACAGCATTTGAATTTGGTAGCGGATGATGTGTAAGAAACCATGACTACTATAGAAACTGGCGCAAAGACACATGAAGAGAGAAATCAAGCAACAAAGTAGAATATCCCATGTTTTTATCTGGGGAGATGGCATTGTATCAGTTTCCCTTCCACTGAGAGTTGGCTAAAATCACAAATAATTTATCCTGTGTAGAAAATAGGAGACTGCACAATTGCCTCTTTAAGTGTATAAGGCATTTTAAGAGAGAAGCCTGAATACATTTTGATATTGAGAAATGACCTTGACCTTTCTTTCAAATTGAAACACGCGTATTTATGATTTCAAAGCTAGCCTCCAGCTATGAGAGAGAACATGTGACTTTTGCCTTTCTGGATCTGGGTTACCCCACTAAGGATAATTGTTTGCAGTTTCACCCATTTACCTGTATATTTCATAATTCCGTTTTTTAAGAGCTGAATAATGCTCCATGGGGTATATGTACCACACCTTCATTATCCATTCATCACTTGATGGGTGTCTAGGTTGTTTCCAGTTTCTGACTATTATGAAAAGGGCATCAAATGAACATGGATGATCAGGAGTTTTTAAAGTATGGTACAGAGTGGTATAGCTGGGCCATATGGCAAAACAATTTCAAGCTTATTGAGGAATGTCCACACTGATTTCCATAGTGGCTACACCAGTTTGCACTCCCACCACCAATAGAGAAGTTTCCTCTTTCTCCACATCTTTGCCAGCATTGGTCCTTATTTGTCTTATGAGTCTCACCCCATTCTGAGTGGGGTGAGATGAAATCTCAAAGTGGTTTTAATCTGAATTTCCCTGATGACTAAAGATGTTTAATACTGTTAAGTATTTTTCAGCTATTTGTGTTTCATCTTTAGAGAACTCCCTGTTTAGATTCTTGCCCCACTTTTTAATTCGGTTGTTTGGTTTTGGATGCTTAGTTTTCAAAGTTCCCTATATGTTCTAAATACTAATCCTCTGTCAGAGAGATGGCTGGTGAAGATTTTCTTCCTTTCTGTAGGTGCCTCTTCACTTTTCACTCAAGTGATGGTGTCCTTTGAAGCTTTTGAGTTTCATGGGGTCCCATTTGTCAATTGTTGCACTTAATGGCTGCATTATAGGGGTCCTGTTCAAGAAGTCCTGTTCTGTGTCGATAAATTTCAATGTATTCCCTACTTTCTCCTCTGATTCAGGGTATCAGGTCTTAAGTTGAGGTCCTTGATCCACTTGGAGTTGAGTTTTGTGCATGGTGAGAGAGAAGGATCTATTTTCATTCTTCTACATGTCCTTAATCCAGTTAAAACAGCACTGGATTAAGGACAGTTGTTGAACACACTGTCTTTTCTCCAGTATGTAGTTTAGGCTCCTTTTTCAAAAATCAGGTGGCTGTAAGTGTGTGGATTTAAATCTGGGTCCTTAAAGTGAACCTTGGACGGTAACCAAACCTGAAAATAACCTGTAAATAAAGCTAAAGTTGGTCAATACTAGAACACCAGACAGCACAGACTAGGCTAAGGAATGGGAAGCCAGAACTGAAAAAGAAGTCTAGCTAGACTCAGAATAAACTAAAGCCCATCCACAGGCAATATGTCAGGTGTCCCTTAACATTAACTGCAATAATTATTCTTATGAAAATATGAAGGAAATATGCATAACATTGGTAGAATCCTAGAAGTACAAACCCTTACATTCTAGTATGCGTGAATCTAACATTCTTAACAATTTTTTTAAAATCCCAAGGTAAGGAATATATCTTGCCCATACTGGGTGGAAAGTAAATTTAAGGGCTATTTAAGGGCTATGTACCTGGAAACAAGTCCTACCATTTTCAGAATACTGACCAAACAAAGTTTTTCTTTTGATGTTTGTTTCAGGTTAGACAAATACACCAAAGAGATCAATTCTTTTTAATAAAATAAATGACTTTCCAGAACACAGACTTTGCTCCTGGAACAGGAGGGCTTCTGTCTAAACAGTGTCTCTGACTCTATCCACACTAAATGGAAGAGCAATTTTAGAAAGCAGCATCTAGACAGAACAATTTTTTATTTTAATATTGGAGAGGACTTCAAGGCCCTTATATCTCTCCCATGTTTAGAAAGTTGTGAACTATTAAATCTTACATTGCTCTCAAGATTTTAGAGTGGAAGGTGTGCTCTTCAGAGGATCAGGGAAACTAGATTTGGGTAGTGCACATCAGAGATAGCAGCCAAATGAAGGCAGTGAGACAGATGAAATAACGGAGATGGAGATTAAGCCAACACAGGCATGCAAAGAGAATTTCACATTTAGCTGGAAAAATGCTGGTGAGAAAACCAGGGGTCATAAAAGAATACAAACGAGAAAATAAATCCAAGGACAAACTCCTAAAAATTAAAGTACCTGTGCAAGTTTTGTGTGATTTCTCATACTCCACCCCTATTCTAATGAGTACATGCTCACAAAAGCAGAGGACTGCAGAACCTAAAAGGGACCTGCAGCTACCTGGGAACACTGAAATCATGCTAAAATTTAAAGTATGTATAAATGGGCAGTATCACACAGTTTATGCTTGGTGATTCACACATCCACTCTGCCAGAATGACTGTTTACTCCCTATCTAGTAGATTTCATCTAAAGCTTGTAAGTTCCTAGTCCATGGGAAGAATGAACACAATTTGCACAGAAAATTCTTGAAAGAAGCCTATAAAGAGACTTTAACATTGGTAGAGATTCTTAATGAAGTTTGTTCTAAACAAGTAAAGAGTAACAAATAAACCCAGATCATAATATACTGGAAAGTAAAAGTAATTAATGGTGTCTTATCATTAATTTTCTGACCACCTCTCTTCAATAAAAAATGCATACTTGCCGGGCATGGTGGTATATGCCTTTAATCCCAGCACTCGGGAGACAGAGGCAGGCGGATCTGTGAGTTCAAGGCCAGCCTGGTCTACATAGTGAGTTCCAGGACAGCTGGGGCCATAGGGAGACCCTGTCTCAAAAAAAAAAAAATGCATACTTACCAAGTAAACTTGCCACGATGGAAACTAACCCTGTGCCAGCTCCAATTTCAATCACATTTTTATCAACCATGTTAAATTGCTTTGCATGTGTTTCCAGGAAATAGCATAGAATAAGAGCCTATGAGAAGAAGGTGGGGGGAAGTGGTTGAAATAATAATAGCAAAATTAAGCCCTATAGATAAATATACCACCAGGATTATGGTTTGCGTGTATGCATGTCTGGGTATGAGTACATTTTCAGATAGTCACATACATCTCTCCAGCAAATTTTCATCAAAAGTGGACCTTCTTACAGCTTCAGCATCTGGTCAGCTAGAGGAAGTATTTGGGGGTTGTTGAAAAGAGAAAAATGAGTGAAAATACAGAGCACAGTTGCTTAAATTTGGTCATCTCTAAACTTCTAGCAATACTAGTCCATTCCAAGCAATGTGTGAGGGTGGGACTGGCTGTGGTGAGGGTCCACCACTTTCATGGGACAGCTGGTAAAGGGCTGGGGGCCTTCAAGTTAGCCTCCATATGAGGCTCATACAGATGTTGCTCTACTTGTTGAACTCAAACAAAGCCAATAAAATGGGAAATGAAAACATTTCTACTCTCCTCTCCTATAGTCATAAAAACTGAAGGAGTCCACATTTTTATTTATCCTAACAATTTTGATAAAGTCAGAAATAGAATTAATCAGTGGAAGAAATTTCCCATTGCATGATTTCTAAATCTGAAGGTCACAAAGTCGAATCTTGCATCCTGTTTCCTTCTTTCAGGTTTAAGACAGCAATGATTAAAATTGGAGAGTAATATAAAATGTAAATATAAAATTTATACCGATGGCCAAACCACGGCACCATAACAATCTGTGGCCTCAGTAATCCGAATCTCATGACCAACAAAGTGAAAGCCTTCCCAGGAACTGGTTGTTATCAGAGTTGGAATAAAACATCTTGCCATGATCTCAGCGACCGTCTGCGTGTCATCCTCATCTTCCCTGGTCTCTGAAAGAAAAAAAAAAAAAAGTGTTGGTACTGTGTTAAGTGAAATAAGCCAGGCCCCAAAAGGTAAATGCCATATACCCTTCCTCATGTGAGGAATCTAGGTTTAATTAGGATTTATCTCTGCTTCTAGATATGAAAGTGGAAAAGGGGAAAGGAAGAAAAGGAAGGGGCTAATTCGAGAGAGGAAGAACAAATAACGGGAAGAAAGGCAAATACCGCAAGTTCTCTCTTATATGTAGAATCCAGATTTGAAACCGCAGGTGGGGACTGCATGAGGGGAGGAAAGGGAGGAAAGGGAGGAAGAGAAAGCAGGCAGAGGGGGCAAGTACAAGCAAAATACAATATGCGTGTATGAAAATGTCATGAAGAAACTCATTGTTTTGTATGCTTACCAAAGTAATTTTAAAATTTGGCTTAATCTTACAGAAAGGAAAACCTAATGGAAATAGAGCCTTCTCAGTCTAAGGTACATCTGAATACTCATTAACTTTAGATGAAATAAACTAATAAGGTATTTTAATACTTTATGGGGACAGCAAGATGGCTCAGTAGGTAAAGGCACTTGCTGCCAAGCCTGATGACCTGAATTCATTCCCCAGGACTCACATGGTGGAAGGAGAGAACTGACTCCCACAAATTGTCCTCTGACCTCCACCCACTCCTACCCCCAATTTAAAAAAAAACAGAATAAAAACACTTTATGGCATAACCTAACTTTCTGTACATCAGGGCCTCAGTATCTCTCTGATTTTCACTGAAGGTGGTACCACTACTATTCATTTCTTTTTAAAATTTTTATTATTTTTATTTTATGTATATGACTGTATTGCCTGCATGTTTGTAAGTGGACTCATGTCGTGGAATGCACACAGAAGTCAGAAGAGGGTGTGAGATATCCTGGAACTGGAGTTATAGATGGTTGTTAGCTTCCACATGGGAATCGAACCCAGGTCCTCTGCAAGAGCAGTCAGTGCTCTCAACCACTGAACCATCTCTCCAGTCCCACTACTATCCATTTCTGTAACACTAAATGAAACACAGAATAACTGGTAAACTTTTAAAAGCATTATGCTTTCTGAACCATAAATGGGCTCAACTAGATTAAAAGAAAAATTAGTGATGGAGTGCTAGAGTTCAACTGCTCATAATAACTTCACAGCACAGCTCCAAGTATCTTGATAGTTTATGACCTCTTCTTATTCGGGTAAAAGATATTTAACACAACCCAACAATATACCCACGTATTTTTTTCAATATTTTATTATTTTTTTATTTTGTGTGTAGGAGCGTATTGCCTGCATGAATGTAAGTGCACTCATGTCATGCAATGTCCACCGAGGTCAGAAGATGCCCAGGAACTGGCATTATGGATGATTGTTAGCTGTCATGTGGGTACTGGAAACCAAACCTGGGTCCTCTGCAAGAACAGCCAGTGCTCTTAACTAATGAGCCCTGGCTGCATTGTTTATAGTTATTTACTTTTATGTTGTTATTTGGGGATTAGACATGGCATATTAATATCACCTTACATAAGGTTAATAAGCCACACTGAATACCAGTTACTGAGTATATGATGCCCCATGCCATGTTGAAAACACATAGTATTTCATTTAATTTTCACAACAACTTTGTGAGACAGTCTTTATTATTTTTCACTTTCACAGTTAACAAAACCAAGACTCAGAGAACTGTATTTATTAACCAAACTCATAAGCCAAAATTTCCTCTTTAAAGCTTTGAAAAGGTGGTGGTGTGTTTTTAGAAATGACTCTCTCTAAAATTTTAAACTTGTTATGAAAAATGTGAAATTTGGGAAAATGAACAGCAGACCCAAATCTTATCTAAAGGACTATTGACAACTGATTGCTGCTAGATGAGGAACAGCTGACCCTCCTAAAACAAAGACCTCTAGATAGGCTGACTAGATTCACCAGATGGACAAGTAGTGGGGAACGGCTGGGGTGCCGACATCACAGCAGACAGTAGCAGAGATAACAGAGTATAGGGCTCTAGTGGAGGGGAGGGAGGCTATGGGAGAGTTCCATATGGGAAGTGGATGTACAGTTGAATAAGATGGTTTGGGATGTTCTGTGTGATATACACACACACACACAAATGAACAAATTTTAAAAAATGAATTTGAGGAGGAAGCATAAAAATGTACGTCACATTAATTAGTAGAGGTTATAAACATTACCATTGAAATCTATCCGATGACTTTATAGACATACACAGGTGCCAAGGATCCAAGTACAACCGATTATGACTAGTAATAATCAGATACATACAGATTAGAGATGCATGTGCCAACATCTCAGTGTTGGTAGCAAAAATAATGAGTCTTTCTGCAAGGAACAAAATATTCTAAAATGAAAAGGAACAATATATTCTAAAATGAAATGGAGATCTTTTTTAAAGGTTAAAAACTCATTCAATTTTATTTCTTACAGGGCTTATACTGAGTTCAATATTGTATATCTGTATTACTTCAACAGTGAACCTAAAAATTTTATAGTCACTTTTGAAAGAGATGTTATCTTTGCTCTAGAAACTATTATTGAGTATGTTAAAGCTGTAATGAAATTCTTCTTCTAAAATTTTTTTAAAAATAAATAAATAAGAAGAAAAAAAAGAAAAATGTGAAATCCAGAATTTAGATCAAATGGTGTTGAGAGACAAACAGGCAAAATCATATGAAGTGCTCAGCACATTGCTGGCCATATGGGGCTCCAACAGTATTATTATTGTAGTTATTGTTGCTACCTTGATTATGAAATAGACTGAATGTGATCACCATATAATCAAATGTCAGATTGTGTGCTACAGACTTGAAACTTCTATAATTCACTAATGAAGGAGAAAGGTTTATTGTGGTTTCATAAAACCATGAATGGCTTCACAAAAGAAATTTGCCTTGGGTTTCTTGGCTCCACTTTAGAGGAACACCAAGATACTGTAGCAACTGAGAGGTAAGAAATCTTGAAAGTCAGCCATATGAGGATAGTGTGGGAAGACCAACATGGGTATATGAAAAGGGAAAGAACTATGCAAATGAACAGTTTTCACAGCAAATGTCTAGGAAACAGAAGAGACCAGCATGTGTGTTGGTGTGTGTATGGATACATGTGTGTGCATGTACATGCATGTGCCCTGCTTGGGCTCCAGACAGAACCACGTATTCCCCCAAAGAATTCCAATTTAGCCACAGACCATAGTACAGTACCACCCCACTTTCCCACCCCGACAAACACTGGCCCTTATAAACGCAGAGAAAACAGAAAAGTGAAAATTTGATATTCTTTAGCAAGAGCCATGTCTTCCAGTATATTTCACTGTAATTCTCCTTAAACAACTGTAAGCATTTACATTCAGGAAGAGCTCCTGGAACCAAATAATATTGGTAATATGTTTTATTTGAACTTTAACTTTCATTTCACTATATGCACTTGGTTTGCTAAGATGTCAGGGGCGAGGATGGCAACATTTGCTGTGGAAGTTCTTTAGGGAAAAGCACAGAACATTAATTGCTTCCTTGACCTTTAACTACGTGTGTCCTCCCAGGCCTCCTTGCCTTCGCCTTATGAATGTAGCACTCCTTTGACAAGTCACCTAAGGTATCAGGGATTAATAGATGTTAGAGTACACCAAATCCCAGGAGTGTCTCCTAAAGTTCCAGACTTTGATATAAAAACTTTGCCAGTGGATATTTACTGGTAGAGTTTGACATCTCTGACTTTGCTCTTTCTTTTAAAGGTTAGTTGGCCAGATTAGTGCCACTGTCTAACAAGTGGGTGACAGCAAATGTTGCCCCAACTTTTCACTCTGTCTTTCTGAATAAACAGAGCTGGTTGTTTCATTTCTTTTTGATGATGAGTACATCTTTACCTCCATCAGGAAATGAAATTTTAACAACATATATGAATATTATAATTGAAAATTACACTTACAAGATAAAGGACTTCAAAGAGATTTTATGAAACAACTAAAATCATTGTTAATTGCATACAGACTCTTAAAAAGCACAACTCTATCCATGACTAAAACTAAGGGTTGGAGAGCCAGGCACAGTGGTGCACACCTTGCTGTTAGTCCCAACACTCGAGAGGCAGAGGCAGGCAGATCTCCGTGTGATGGAAGCCAACTACACAGTGAGTTCCCGGTCACCTGAGGTTACAGGGAAACCCTGTCTCAAAAAGTCAGGGAAAAAAAAAAACAAAAAACTAAAGGCTCGAGAGATAGATTGATGGATAAAGTGCTTGCCACACAAGCATGAGGACCAGGGTTTGGATTCCAAGAACCTATGTAAAAGCAGGCATGGTGACTCACATGTAATCCCAGTACTCAAGAGGCAGAGAGGAGATTCTCAAGGCAAACTAGTAGCCAGATTTGCTGAATCAGTGAGTACCAGGTTCAGCAATAGACCTTGCTTCAGTAAATAAAATGGACAGAAATCAAAGAAGATATCAAATGTCAAACCTGAGCCTACACACATACACACACATGCACACATATGCCCCCACACATGCAAATGTGCAGTCACACAGGCAAGCACAACACATACACATGAAAAGAGTAAACAAATAAATAATAAAACTATATATCTAGGATGAAATTGTGTCATACAGAAAACACCAGGCTCAGAAAAATCTAATTTGTAATGTTTAATATTAATATTCTTTTGCATTTAAATGCACATAAATATTCCAAAAGAAGTAGCCTAATAAAATTACAATAGTTTGTACTATGTAAACATAATGTACTGAACTTGGCTCTTAAAATAATCTGTCTAAAGAATATGATGATTGGGACTGGAGCGAAGGCTCAGCAGTTAAGGGCACCAGCTGCTCTTGCAGAAGACTGGGTTTGGATCCCAGCACCCACACAGCAGATAACAACCATCCACAACTCCAGTTCCAAGGGATGCAATGCCCTCTTCTGACCTCCACGAGCACTGGATGACACAGGTGAACTTACATACATGCAGGTAATACACTCATACA